TTTAGGGTATAAAAGTATCCAAGGGGCACTTGTCTGAACAAAATAGGCCAATACACACAGGGCCATGGCATGGAGTACAGGATGCTAAAAAGGGGGTTGTTACGTACACCAAATGTAATTTGGCATTGGGGCAGGGCACCATATCCTTTGCTGTGCATCTGTTGGAGGTTCTAATATTTGGGCTTTACCTGTCCATTGTGCTTTAGTATTGAGCTTGCAATCTTTAGTATCAAGTGTACCAAAATGTGCCTCTCTTTCCATGCCTTCTTATGTGCATTCATTACAGGACAGGTACACTATAAGTGCAAGGTTCTTCTACACTACCCAGCCTCTGCCCCTTCACTCTGACCTGGAGGGACTATTTCACTGGAGGGGAGGCCAGCTGATTTTCCAATCTCATTTAATCTGGGTTTACATGCTGGCTAGTTAATGCCATTTGGTTTTGTGTGTGTGTGTCTTTGTCTGAAATCTGGACTAAGACCCACTAGCACATTTCACATAGGGCATCAGAAAACCAGATAGTAATGGCTTTGTCACACCAACCTGAACTGGTTTTGGTTTAGAGGTGAAGTTTGTGTACCTTAATATCAATTCTCTGAGCCATTCAGTCATTTGGTGCATATGCTGATTTAAAACATACCCCAAGTTAGTTGTTTAGATGAACAAGTTCCTTTAGGCCAAAATTTCCAAACTTGGTAGCCTGGAGTCGGGCACCTAAGTAACAGAGGCCCATTTTTCAGAGGCATTTAGCACCCATAGGTCCTATTGATCTTACTGTGGGTGCTCAGTGACTCTTTGTTTAGGTGCCTAACTGTGGATTTAGTTGCTTAATTTAAGGTATGCAAGTTCAAAAAATGTGGGATTAGTTTTTAAGGTCTCATCTTGTAAAGATGCCAAGCATGCCAGGATCCATTGATGCTTAGATCCCAAGGCAGTAGTAGGTATCTTGGGAATGCTCAGCTGTATACATTGACCTCAGTGGGAACAGAGGGTGTTCAGCACCTTGCAGAATCAGGCCCAAAGACCGTAATGCAGCATCTTAACTAGAAATGTATTGGGCAAGAATAGCTCAGGTATAAACCAACATTATTTACAAGAATAATGCTCTGCTCAAATACTTCCCATGTAAATAACTAACAAGAGACTCAGCTACAATGATTAGCTGAAATTTCTAAGGACCCAAGTGTTTCATATTTTTCAAATGAAAACTTGACACTCTCACGATTATAGTTTGTTTTAAAATGTCCCACACTATTTTGGAGATGTTCTCCCTGATGTACTGTCTCAGGAATGCAGGAATCAGTAGTTATGGTGAAGAAAATATTGGCCCATTATCTGCTCAGATTCTTGAGCTCCTGGCATAGCATCTCCTGCTTGTTTTACATCTCACACAGACCTGAAGGGGTTACGCTGTAAAATGAATAATGACTAAATTTATTTGTCATGGACAAATGATGACAGCTGTTGAGATGCTCCCGTTAGAGCTTCCCAAGGGATAACTCAGGCTAGTTCCTATTGTGAGCCAAGCTAGCAAGATAGAGTAAGCTTGTCTTCATTCTTGGATTGTCTGTCCTGGGTTACTAACAGTAGCAGTGAATTTCTTTCCTAGAAATGGCCTGAAGTTTTTTGGGCTAAAATGGGCATTCATGTGAATTTTGCAGAGCCACAGTTGTACAAACAGGACTGAAACCATAGCTGTTTAAATCCATGTGTGAAGACAGCAGCTTAATGAATACAAGGGGCAATGATTGATTCTGTTCTGGACTGAAATCTGCAGCAGTCTGTGAAACAGTGTTACATCTGGGCACGCTATGGAAAATATGAAGGAATGTTGAGGAAGCTTATTTGCAAAAGGATATGTACTTGTAAGCAATTTCTTCTTTTTTTTCTTTGTAATGATTGTAAGTGAATAGAAGAGATTTTAAGCAAATTGCATTTTTTTTAAATTTTGAGAGAGAGCAGAGTAGTGAGCAGACAAAGGCCCTTTCGGGTAAGGCATGTCTCTGCTGGATATTACTAAGCATCATTCATAAATGAGCATTGGGGTCATAAGGCAGGAGAATAGTCATGATTGTTAAATGGTAAACACTGTGATCCATATTTTATCCCTGGTGCACACACAGTGAAGTCAATGGATTACACCTGGGTTGAATTTGGCCCTATAGGATTTACAGCTAGAGTGCAATATTATAAATGATGATTGTGACCATCAGCTGTTGAATTGGGAAGAACGTCCTTCTTCATGTTACTGTATAGTTGATTTGGTTGTATTTTATTTTATGAACTCCACATTCAGATTTTTTGTTCTTTGTTTCTTTTTCTGTTCAATACGTGTGCTGCTGAAAGACCTGGTATGCAGTTTTGAATGTGCCAGAATATTATCCTTAATTTTCAATCAAGGAAATGCTCTCTGGATGTTAAAGGCTATTTGACATAGATATTAGAAAAAACATTTGGCCACAATGTTAACTTTAAAGTATAAGAAGATCCATTTGATTGTAATTTGCCTCTCTTTTTTTATAGCTAATACTCAGGAAAGCTCATTTTAGATTAGTATGTTAGCAAAATTAATGGAGTTTTACTAACATGCTACAAAAATGAGGTTATTCTTGCTATTTGGTTTCTGAGTTTTTATTTTACTTTGTTATCTGGACTAGGAAACCACACCCTTTGTGTGTGCTGGGGGGATGAGGGTTGGAAAAGCATAATTGCTAGATTATTTTTAAGTTAAATAAATGACAATCTAGATGGACATTAATGCAACTGACACAAGATGTATACTATTAGATAAAAGTGCTACTTTTGAAATAATGCAGAATATCTGCTATCTGGTTGTATTAATGGCAATGATTTCCTCTTGGCTGGTAATAGACATAGCATAACCTTTTACTTGATACCCAGATATCTCTGTATAAGAATTTAAAAGAAAATGTATTTGGGATGAAATTCACCCCAGTGCTAAAGGTCTGGGCAAGCCCACCCTCACCACCCCATGACAAAGGTTTAAATGGTGCAGGGGGCCTTGTGCATGCTCACCAGACGCTGGGTGGAATTTCACCCCTTGACCCCATTCAGTCCGTCCCTATTTACTGAAGTACTTAAGCATTCACTTCACTTGAGGCATATGCTTAAAGTGAAACTTATGCTTAAAAGCTTTGCTGAATAAGGAAGGACTTAGGCAGGTGCTTAAATGGTCTGATGAGTTGGGAGATAGTGACTAAGATATGCCCAGAACTGTTAAATGAGCTCTGCTCTCCTGAGCCAATGGAGTGGTTCGTGCTGAATGTGCTCAACCCCTGGCTGGAATTGAGTGCCTTGAATCACTCAACAGTGACCATTAAAGATTCTGCCTGATTAAAGATGGCATTGATGGGGTCCAGCCAGAGGGAATCATGTTCAACCTCCCGACAGAAGGAGGTGGGTGCAGACATCCCAAATTGGATGCAACAGTCCCGAAATGCAGAGTTCAAGTCCCGGTCCCAGGCTGAATGATTCCAGGACATTTGTTCTGGATTCCCTGTGGCAACGCTCCGCACCTGCCTGAGCCTCAGGGGCAGTGCCGGCCTCTTTCTGGGGGGGTGTGGGGGGGGGGGCTGAGGTGGGCCTTAGCCCTCCCATCACCATGAGGCCCTGCCCCCTGCTCTTTCTCACCCCACACCCCTGAGACTTCACCCTCTGGCCAGATCAGAAGCTGCAGCCCAGCAGTTGTATGAGCCGCCCAGGGAGCCTAGGTCGCTATGGGGAGCCCTGGACCCTCCACCTACCCTGGGTGGTACACCCCAGGGGGCGGGGACATGGGCCAGAAGCTGGTCTTGGGCACCCCGGCCCTCCGCCCAGGGCAGGTGGAGGGTCCAGGGCTCCCCACAGCAGCCCGGGCTCCCTGGGCAGCTCTTACTGCTGCCCAGCTTTGGCTTCCAACCTGGCCAGGGATGGGGCTTCAGGGAGAAGAGGAGGAGTAGGGTGTGGAGTTTGCGGGAGAGAGAAGGGATAGAGGACGGGGCCAACAGAGGCGGGCAGGGCTCCTGCTTATGTCCTGCTTTTGCCTTTTGAAAAGGAGGTCACCTTAGGTTGGCGTAATGTGATCCTGAAGGGCTGTGTGGTGGGAGTAGATTTGGGAGAAAACATAGTAGAACTCAATCTGATTTTCTTACAGCCGTCCAAACGTTTTACACCTTCCAAATGACTATGTAGCAAATTATCATTTAAAAACAAAGTAAAGTGGATTTAGGGCTGTTGAAAGTTGCATGATTAACAGCCCTGAAAGCCAGTGTCTTTTATTGATACATACAACATAGGGACAGCATGGGCAGTAGATATGTGGTCTTCCTCACACTGCCCCTTTGAGGAGCCTCAGGGCTTGTCTACACCAGTGCTTAAGTCAACGTAACTTACATCGCTCAGGGGTGTGAAATCCCCCCTCCCCCCCCGAGCAACGTAAGTTAAATCAATTTGAAGTGCTGTCTACAGCGTGCTGTGTCAGCAGGAGAGCTTTTGCGTCTCATTGAGGTAGACGAATTACATAGACGGAAGAGCGTTTTCGTCGACATAGTGCTTCACCAGATACGTTACACGGGCACAGCTGCAGTGAAGGCAAGCCCTCAGTCCTGTTGTACAGACACCACCTCTACGGGTGAGAGGGTAGCTGAGGATTTATGGGCCCTTCAGTCCTTTATCTCGGCTACGATTACAAACCACTGCCTGAATTCTCAGTTACACTGAGCCTGTTTACTCCTCTTGAGGTGGAAAGCTGTAGATCTCCTGAGCTGCCCAGCTCCCTGAATTTGTATTTAGAAAGGACGGTTGGGCACAGGCATTGATCATAGTTTGTTGGTTTATTCTTTTAAACATAACTTCAGCGAAGCCTTGAAAAGCTGTTGAAGTGAGAGCTGTCTCCAGTGTTCTTGCAGGAAATGCACAGAGCACCTGCTCCAATATAGGCACCCCAGTTGGGAAATGTTTTAGTTTCACCTTAGTTATGGCTGAATGTGGTTCTTCCTCAGATAAAAATTTTGATGATGAAGACTCTGTGGACGGGAACAGACCTTCCTCGGCCAGCTCCTCTACATCTTCAAAGGCCCCTCCAAACTCCCGCAGAGTTGGCATGGGGACTGCTCGCAGACTTGGGTCTGCAGCTCTGGGCTCAAAGTCCACAGGTAAGGCAATATTGCATATTGGGTGAAACTCACCTCTCTGCAAAGATCCTGCACAACACCTAAGCTCTGCTGAAGTCCCATTTAAGCCTTATTTTGAGGACCTACGTGTTGCATAGTCCTTGTGTTGGCCCTCATTAGGGTGGTGAATTGCTCTGTCTGAGAACATGAGAGTTATACTGTCTGAACACCAAAGATGTGTTCTGGAAGAGTGGACCTGCAAATGATTCCCACATCCAGATCCACTTAGTGATCTTCAGCATTGTGTTTGAAGCAACAGTGTGCAGTGATCCACCTTTTCTTCCCAAAGGAACTGCACCTCTGTAGTCAAATAGCTTAAATAACACAGGCTGTTTATTTAACAAATAAGGTCAAAAATGTATGTGCTAAACTCCAGTTTCATGCAATTTAAAACAGTTGGCAAATTGTTTTTTTAACACTTTTGGCACTTGACCTCCAACTTCTGACGCTCTAATTCAAGGGTGAACAGAAAACTGAACAATGACTCTGAATTTATTTGCAAATTGCAACTAAAGGAAACTTTCCTGATTCCTTTCTCAAACAATAACTTCCATCTGAATAATGTCCTTAAGCCTTTCCCTTTTCTCCCCATCTCCGTATCTTCAGTCTGTGTGCCTGTCAGGAAATCCACACATTAATCAATTATAAATGAGACTAAATCCTTTAAGAGAAAACCTCCCTTGTAGTTTAAGTAAATATTCCATCTCATCTTTTCAGGCAACACCCCCTAACATTTGAATGACTGCCTTAACGACATCGTAATGTGCTCCGTGGTGCCTAGGAATTGAAGGATGCTGTGTATAGTGTGTGCTTTGCTTTGAATTTCCTTGCCTTTGTTGTTTCCATTACAGCTGTAACACTTTCCATGTAGGTTTGGATGGGGGTCGGGAGTGGGGTGAATTCTCTCTTTCTTTAGGTGAGCATATTTTTAGTGATTATACTGTTGTTGATGAGAAGGGTGAAAAGGCTTTTTCATTTATCTGTCAGCAGCCAAAGAGGGAGCTGGTGCTGTTGATGAGGAGGATTTTATTAAAGCGTTTGATGATGTCCCAACAGTTCAGGTAAGAAGAAATGCATTTTAAAACATTTAACAGTAACAGTATAACACAGATGTCCAACCCAATCCCACTCTCATTGAAATCAATAGCTGAGGCCCATTAAGTTCAGTGGTGGCAAGCTCTAATAAAGAGGTAGTCAAGGGAGTAAAGAGATGTTTTCATTTTCAGATTTGGAAAGAGATGGTGAGTTAGAGAGATACAGGAAGGGGATTCCAAATGACAGGAGCTGCAGCGTGGCAGTGGAGCAATTGTCTGGAGGACTGAAAGGGAAGTCAGTGCTTGACAGACAGAGGGAAATGAGAGAAAAGCAAAGAGACAAGGCTGTGAGGTTGGCTGGAGCAAGCCAAAAGAGCATGTTTAAAATGAGGAAAGCCGGTCATCTTAAACTGGATCCTGCACTAACTCCCGAAAGCCAGTGGAGTAGTTTGTGGACAGAGAGTAAAGGCAAGTCACAAGATGTTGCATCTCCTAAGACTGGGAGCTGAGACTTGTGAAGGCCATGAAGAGGGACTCAGCATAACTTCAGTAGAGGGTTCATCTAACTCTGATACATGAAAGAGGGACAGTTAAACATCAAACTCACTTATTGTGTATCTGTAGACTTGAACCTTGGAAAGTTTTCAAATGCAGTCACATGCACGTAGGATTTGTCAGTATCTCTATGCTTTCATCAGCTCACAGTTTTCTTTGTCCTGACCCAAATTGTGGCCAGACTGAATATTTCCAGGTTCATTTGACCTTTTCTTCAAATACTAGTGGGCTCCTCTTTGTTATCTCAGTGCTTGAATGGATGAAGACAGACTTCCTTCAGATATTCCTGATACGACTAGGGGATTTTAAACTAATCTCAGGAATTCTCTGACTTTTCCACCTCTTTCCTACCCAAAGATTATTTTCACTGGAGTTATTCTCACTTCAACATTTGCCAAGGATCTGGGTGTTTGATTCTAGTTATCTTCCCAAGGTTAAGTAAAACAGTTGTTAAATGTTACTTTTCTCAGTTAAGGAATATTGCTTGATTGTCCTCAGAGTTAATTATTACAATCCCGATTCATGCCTTTATGTTGGTTGACGATTGCAGTATCTGGCCTTCCCTACAGGCTGCAGCATATTCAAGATACCAAAGTTGGATTGGTAACATGCATGTTATACCATGATGTCATTGCACAGCTGCTTTCTCATTTTCCACTATATACAGTGGCAACATTAGAGAAGCATCACAGAATAGAGGATTGAACTCTAGCTGGGAGCCAGAAGCTCTGGAGTTCTAATTCTGATTCTGAACTGTGTGATCTTGCACAGATTGGAGAGGAGTGTCAGATAGGAACCAGGACAAACAGAGGTTTTTTACCTCTCCTTGCGTCAGCTTTCTCCTCTGTAAAATGGAGATGATAATACTGAACTGACTCGCAAGGGGTAATAGTTAATGTGTGTGTGCCACACTTGGAAAACAGAAAGAACTGTGTGCTGACTGTTGCTAAATTCTCCTCTCCTCCATGTATGCACAATTCACACTCATTTCAATGGGTGCTACAGGCTCAGGGCTGAATTTGGCCCACTGACTTCATGACTAGCCTATCTTACGTTGCTGACAGGTTGCATATATTACTCTTGCAAAATTGTGTTCAGCGAACTCAGGACTGTTGGCTGCTCAGCCTTCTTGGTTAGTCTTTTGTAGCGATGGCATTGATTTCCTGTGTGCTGATGCAGTGGGACTCTTGCACTTTGACATTTGGAACATTCTTTGCACCTGTACGTTTAAAGCTACTTTTCAGCTTTTTAAATGTTGCGTGTTTGTGTGGCCAATGGGCTATTTTGGGACATTCTTTCAAACGCAGTACATAAACAGTGCCAGTAAAAACCTGCACTGACAGGGCAAATAGGTCCTTATAAGCACAGTTATCTATTGTGCCAACAAATATGAGCTTCCCTTATGAAGTGGGGATTTACACACTTTGTGGGCGTCATTTATGTATCAAATGTTGTTAATTTGTCTCTCTATATTTATTGGTGGTTTTGTATGACCCTCTAGAAGACTGTTTTACGTATGACGTTGACTCCAGAAATAATGCTTACTGCCTTTAAATTGTACAGTTGTGTAATAGTCAAAAATGATTACACTTCAAACATCCTGTATGTCCATTTAATATTTCTTGATTTTGTGCAATACATTAGTCCCTTAGAGTCGAAGAGCCACACACAGTAAAGAATTCAGGAGTGAAGGAGGTTAGAGGTTCAGTTAAGAAACCTTCTGATTCACTGATAACATTTTCTTTTTTTAATTCACAGATTTATTCCAGCCGAGACCTCGAAGAATCCATAAACAAAATTAGGGAAATCCTATCGGATGATAAGCATGACTGGGAGCAGAGAGTGTCTGCAGTAAGCATTGGACCTATATGCTCATTATTTTAATGTAAGGTTTTTATGAGTGAAGTTCATCCCTTTGCAGAGTGTCAGCACAAGTTCTGTGCACCACTGAAGTTGTCTAAATAGGGCTGATGTGCAGTTTAAGTGGTACATTGAGTATACTGGCCCTCTGCATGGAGTGAATTTCACACTATGGGACTAAATTTAAACTCCTACATTAAGGAAACCGTGAAGTATTAGGTTTATAGGAATTTGAATATCATGAATAGGCATCAGATTAAATAAGTCATCATACATTTAAGATATACTTAATTTTTCAAACAAACAGATAAACCTAGAAAATCGCTATTGGACTTCAGAGTCAAATTTTCAAAAGTGGAGTAATATTGTGAAAAGTGTCCTTTCTGCACTCCATTTGGGTAGGTGGATGTATGCAAAAGGCCTCCTTCTTCCCTGCCTTCCAGGTTGTATAGTCATTTACACCTGTGCAAAGTGGGTGTAAAACAGTTTGGTAGCATTTTATATCCACTGGACACAGGTGGAAATGACTGCATGAGGAGCAAGGTGATACAAAGTCAGACCTGTAATGGACATGCTGAGTTTGAGTCTTATTTATAGGCAAGCTCTAAGTTACACTGATGTAAATCTGCGTAAGACCTTTTCTACACTCTTGGTTTCTGCCACTGGTGTAAATACAGTGATGTAATTTTATTGGTGTAGCCCTGACATGTCCAAGCAGCGATTTGCACTGGTGCAGTTTTCCTCAGTCTGAACCTTGGTTCTGAAGTCTAGTAGTGAATTGATATTAGTGCACCATGATTAATGGTTTGAATTGGTGTAGTTATATCAGTGGCTAAAACTAGCTCCTTAGGGTGAAATCCTGGCCTCACTGAAGTCAGTGGGAATTTTGCCATTAATTTCATTGGGGCAGGATTTCACTCCTACTGTAGACAAGGCCTGATTCTAATGAATTCAGTGGAGATGTTCCAGATTTACACTGGTGTAACTGAGATCAGAATCTGAGTCATGGCTTTTCAAGTCAGACCATCTTTTTAATGAGAGAACTGTGAGAAAATTATAGCGTTTCAATGCATACAATGCACTTCAGTGTTTCAAGATGTTCATTTCCCTAAACATTGCAAATGGATGGAGGGAATGGAGGAGCAACCTTGGAATTCTTTGACTTGTTTAAATGTCCCAATAACTTTAATGATATGATTGGAAAAGTAAATGTCTGGCTTGCCACATTTTGTCGTTGGTCAAATTGTAAATGACACTTTTGGATTCCTGTAGCATGGCCAAGGCTAACATATGAATGTTCTTACATTTATTCAATATACTGATCCCTGAAATATGTGATCTTAGATTGTGTTAAGAACCTGTTCTTCAACACATTAATATTTTTACAGGGAAGTTGAAAAATGAGCGCTAGTCTTGAACACAGTTCTGAGTGTTTTTATTTCTCATGAATAGATACCAGTGTGTCTTGCTATTTTGTCACTTGTAAGTCCGTAAATCTTGTTTGCCAACAGCTGAAAAGGATCCGATCCTTACTATTAGCTGGAGCTGCCGAGCATGATAACTTCTTTCAACACTTACGCCTGCTGGATGGAGCATTTAAATTATCCGCTAAAGATCTGCGGTCTCAGGTAGTGCGAGAGGCGTGTATCACGTTGGGGTAAGGAATACAAAGCTCCACATTCTAAATTGTGTTATACAATTAGTTTAGATAAAAGGAGGAGATCCTGGCTCGAACCCAATTGTGATATAGTTTGGCCTTGTCAGTACTGGACAGACAAAGTGGTGTTAGAACTTGGTTTTTGCCACAACCATTTAAAAACCATGCTCATGCAGGTCATTAATCATGGTTGTACAGCCTGTGAGGATGGGTTCTGTATGCTGGTGGTGTTTGGAAATGTTGATTGGGCAGGCTTTGAATTCCGTTTTAACCTTTGAAAGCCATTACTCACATTATGGACCAGATTCAGATCTCAGTTACACTGGTGTCCATCTGAAGTAGCTCCATTAACTTCAATGGAGTTACTGAGGATTGATAACCAATGTAGCAAAGGGCAAAATCTGTTCTTATGGGTTTATTGCTGGCCAAAGCTAGCTTTAAAAAATCCTCAGAGTGTTTCTAAGTTATTCAAATACAAAACAGTGCCTGTAAAAGCACAGAATATATTCGCCGATCACATTTGCTCTAGAATGGACACCACAGATTTTTTTTTTAATTAAAAAAAAACTGGGTGGAGCTCTTTGGTCCTGGGCTCATGACCCAGATATACTTGTGACGTTCTAAGGGTCAGTTCACAATCAAACAGGTTTGACTGAGTTATACGTTTCTGTAAACAGGCAGAGACAGCAGAGCTCCTGTTGCAATGCCTGACCTTTGAGGAGTTGAGCACCTATAGGGCCCATTGAATACCATGGAAATTGAGGGTACTTGGCGCATGGCAAGGTCAAGTCCATAATGCTGTGAAATGCTTTTCAATAGCGTAATACCACAATTCCAAATAACAAAATGAAACGTGCCCTGAGTATCTGAACCCAATGGAACAGAAGTGGAGGGCCATATTTTGCCCTCCTTGACCCCACATTTTAAATCATTGGGCTTGCATGGAGTGTAGCATTTGGTCATGGCTAAGGACTGAAGGATCAGGCCCATAGTGGTTAATTTCATTTAATTCCATTTGAGATACAAATCTTATGTAAAACAATGCACTCAGTATCGAGGGACAAATTGCAGATGCTTTATATGGAAAACGTGAATATTCTGACCCTTAGGAGACTGCAAAATGGAGTTGGAAAGTTCCCATTCATCCTGGGTCTGTTAAGGCTGGAAATGACAACAGAATAACTTCTCTTACGATATTTCTCACACTCACTTTCTGCCCAAACTGAAGTTAACAGGCAAGGAGGCAGCACAAAATTGAATAATAAAGACAGAAATTTGAAATGTGTTTTGTCTTTGGGTTCAGACTGAGTTTGGGGTGAAAGTACAGGTCAGTTCTTATTTTCTGTGGGCTGGTTCCCCCATCCGTAGTAACTGAATGTTGAATGCTACCAGAGCCATGACTTTGAAGAAAAGGAACTAGGGCATTTTTAATAATCGTTTATGAAATTCACAAATGTCAAGGCAAGACAGAAGCTTGAGAGAGAATGGAATCTGAAACTGACAAGCGCTAGAAAACCAAGTCGTTGAGAAATGCCCTGTGGGTTTGTCGGTGCATCTTTAACAGGGTTCCAGTGATGTGGTGAGCTTCCATGCTGAATTAATTACTGTTAAAATCTGGATGAGCAAAAAGCATTGCACTGGTTTGAGATGAAAACTGTAAAATGAGATATGTCTGTTCATTCTTCTTTGGTGGAGTTAGAGAGGAGACTGAAAAATCATGAAATAGTGCATGTCAGATAGTCTACATTACTATGACTAGCATAATCTAAAGCATATTTACCAGCATTTCTTAATTGTTTTTCAGACATTTGTCTTTAGTTTTGGGAAACAAGTTTGACCATGGGGCAGAAGCCATCATGCCAACAATCTTTAATCTGATTCCTAACAGTGCCAAAGTAATGTCCACTTCTGGTGTCGTAGCTGTTAGATTAATCATCCGAGTAAGTATATATCAAAACAAAACTTTGTCTTATAAAGGCTTAAATCCGTCTACGTGATCAGATCTGAACTGAGGACAGAATGTGAACATGTCCCTGGTGAAAATTAGCTTAAATAAATAGATTAAGCTCCTAAATGTTGCAGAACTTGGCTATGAGACTTCTTCCTTGAATCTTATCTGGGTATGTTATCTGCATTCAGACAATACCTTCCTTTTGTTGATCCCCCTGTCATGTCTTAGAACAAGGAAAACTATTTATTGAAACACAGTTCAAGAGGGGAAAAGAGACTGACAATAAATGAGAAGTAATAGCTTGTCCACTATCAATGGAAGTTGCTTCTTGGTGGTTCTTGTTGTTTATGAACCCAGTTTATGAATCTAGCAGTTTACTGACTAAATTGTTCAGTGGAAGTTGTGTAGCTACCTGAAAGAAGAGCACTACAGAGGCATTCAGATGCTAGGGACACTGTTAATTATAAGCTGTTGGCTGGATAGCATCTGGTGTATGGGTGGCTATTAGCTTGTAGGAAGGGGAAGGGGCAACTCCTCAGATTATCATTAGCCATCTGGCATTGAAGCCTAGCAGTGATATTTTGTGTCATGAAGACCTTGTTCTGATGGTTCAGGTTGTAGCATGCGTCATCAGATACATTCTAGATTGTAAGTAGAAAAGAAAGTAGTTCTCATAGTACTAGTAAGTGAGTAAAGATGGTGAACTTGCAGCTCTTTTATCAAATATAAATGCTGTTGGTCAGCAAGTGAGGGTTCAAAGTCATAACTTGCCAAGTTGCTCTAGATTCCAGTTGCAAAAGAAGACCTAACCATGTTCATATTTACAGGCTAAAAGATCATTTAGGAATAATTTCATCGTTTAACAGGGTATCCTTCTGTGTTACTTTGTATAAGAAAAATGGAAGTACTCTATTTCTTTATGCATGATTCATTATTCTAGAATGATGGATTGTGTGTTTGGAGCAAGGGGCTAGGAATCAGGACTTGTAGATTTAATTCCTGGCTTTGCTTCTGACGCACTGTATGACCTTTGGCAATTCACTTAGGGTCCAGTCCTGCACCTACTGAAATCCAAGGCGAAAGTGCCCATTGACTTAAGTGGTACATGATCAGGGCCCTACCATTCTGTCCTTGTGAAGCATGACTAGTGAAGGTTTGCAAAGGACTTTGAGAGTGGATAACAAGTGCTATCAGCGTAAGATTTATTAGGGAAACTTCTTTGCAGAAACAAAGGATTTTTACCTTTGAAAAGCTGAGTGTATATTTCTCTGAAGTCATTTTTAAACCACTTTTGCTTGCCTTCCCATCCTCATATAAAGAGTCTTTGTAAGCACTCCATGGACAGTGCATCTTGTCTTAGGCCATTAATCAACTAGTGTGGCTTCTGCCCAGTGATGTGGCGGGCATGCTGTGGGGAGCCTTGGCATGCCCTACTACTGGAGATTTCTGTCCATTGATGAATATGGGTCTCACACTACAGACCCGCTGGAGCCTGTGTCCATAAGTGTAAATAAAGAATCCATATCTTTCTTAAAAATATTCCTTTATCTATGGGCTGAATTTTTTCAAATGAGCCAAAATGAGTGTGTGTATGTTGGCTTTAGGATGACTAAGGGAAATTAGCTTTACTCCCGCAAATCTAAAATGTAAAGGTTTTTTCCCTCTGTTTTTCTTGTTCTAGCATACGCACATCCCTCGACTAATACCCATCATAACCAGTAACTGTACCTCCAAGTCTGTTGCAGTTAGAAGGTGAGAATGAGGTTTTAACTTTTCTTCTTGTTTATCAATGGCTTAAATTCACCTCCTGTTTTTTTAAAGAAAAGCTGAGTTTTTCAAAGCGATGTAGAGGATTTATCCGCACATCTTCCCTTAACTTTAATGGATGTGTCTGAATCCCCTAGGTCACTATGAAAAATTCAAACCAAACGTTTTTTTTAAAAGTTTTACACTGTATAGGGAAGATTCACTGTTTCTGTTCTTGAAAAGGAAGGATGGCCTTTAAATAGAAATTAGCTGATTTAACGTGTAGTGGGGAGTTAGGTGTGGGTGTACTGTACAGCTGTGTGTGTTTGTGCATGTTTAGATATTGCTATAATATTATCACATTAGTTTGGCTGCCTTCCGAGGCCTTGGATGTGCTCCTATTTTCTACCACCAACCACTACTGTGGTACGTTTCCTTTGGACCAGAGTGTAAAAGTCACATTCTCTGAAATTCCATGGCCTGTGTTATGAATCATAGAATCATAGAATATCAGGGTTGGGAGGGACCTCTGGAGGTCATCTAGTCCAACCCCCTGCTCAAAAGCAGGACCCATCCCCAATTAAATCATCCCAGCCAGGGCTTTGTCAAGCCTGACCTTAAAAACTTCTAAGGAAGGAGATTCCACCACCTCCCTAGGCAACGCATTCCAGTGTTTCACCACCCTCTTAGTGAAAAAGTTTTTCCTAATATCCAACCTAAACCTCCCCCACTGCAACTTGAGACCATTACTCCTTGTCCTGTCCTCTTCCACCACTGAGAATAGTCTAGAACCATCCTCTCTGGAACTACCTCTCAGGTAGTTGAAAGCAGCTATCAAATCCCCCCTCATTCTTCTCTTCCGCAGACTAAACAATCCCAGTTCCCTCAGCCTCTCCTCATAAGTCATGTGTTCTAGACCCCTAATCATTTTTGTTGCCCTTCGCTGGACTCTTTCCAATTTATCCACATCCTTCTTGTAGTGTGGGGCCCAAAACTGGACACAGCACTCCAGATGAGGCCTCACCAATGTCGAATAGAGGGGGACGATCACGTCCCTCGATCTGCTCGCTATGCCCCTACTTATACATCCCAAAATGCCATTGGCCTTCTTGGCAACAAGGGCACACTGCTGACTCATATCCAGCTTCTCGTCCACTGTCACCCCTAGGTCCTTTTCCGCAGAACTGGTGCCTAGCCATTCGGTCCCTAGTCTGTAACTGTGCATTGGGTTCTTCCGTCCTAAGTGCAGGACCCTGCATTTATCCTTATTGAACCTCATCAGATTTCTTTTGGCCCAATCCTCCAATTTGTCTAGGTCCCCCTGTATCCTATCCCTGCCCTCCAGCGTATCTACCACTCCTCCCAGTTTAGTATCATCCGCAAATTTGCTGAGAGTGCAATCCACACCATCCTCCAGATCATTTATGAAGATAAGCAGGAGGTCGGACTGGATAATCACAATGGTCGCTTCTGGCCTTAAAAATGGATGATTATTTCCTTTCTGCTATCTCATTGGAGAAGACCTATGCCCACTATCTTTAGCTCCGGTCTCCTGTAGCTTGACAAACAGAAGTAAGAATGATTGGTAACTGTGTCGCCTACTGACTATAGCTCTGTCACATCCCTTAAGGAAGTCACTTAACACCTCTGTCCTTCAGTTTCTCTATTTGAAGAATGGGGATGAGAAAATACCTTCTTTTCAGACTTGATGTGAAGCGTAGTGTTTGTAAAGAGCTATCTACAAAGTAATATTAACTTTGATCTTCTCTACATCTCACTATCCTTTGTATTAAAAAGAAGCAAAATCAAAACCACCCCACAAGTAATATTCTACAGCTATGGTCCAGAGCACTGCTTCATACAGTGGTGACAGTCTAGTGTTTCAGACCATTACTGTAGCATATGTTCATATTTTTTAGTGTAAAAACTCTTTGTAGAATTTGATCTTTATAGATACACTTGTATTTTTAATAAGGGGGTCACTGCTGATTTCTTGTGTCCAGCTGGGCCCCATAATAATAAATGACTGGTGTGTGGTGGCAAGTCCACTAGAAGCCATATGCCTTTTTATTAGCTTGAATAGCTCAGACAATATTTCTCCTTTACCCACTTTCAGGCGCTGCTTTGAATTTTTAGACTTGCTGTTACAGGAGTGGCAAACACACTCCCTAGAAAGGTAAGATCTGAGCATGAGCGTCCCTTCGGGAGAAGCGATTTGTACTGTGGTGAAATGAGGGCTTGAAACATCCCACCCTCACTGCTAAAATCCATTTTTTCTCCATTCAAAAATAAAAGGGAAAAAGAGTCCACTGAGGCCCTGTGTGCACCTGCTTAGGTGCAGGCTGTTGGGGGAATTGCTGAGGCCTCCCAAATATTGGAACTTCTGGTGGCACCACAGGTGTGGCTCCCAGGGCTACAGATTTTATTTTCTGAAAGCGTTGTTGAATGGACTAGAGAAATGGGTCCTCTCCAGTCAGGCTGCAGAGAAGATGGTTAATGAATTCTTGAGCACCGCCACTCTCCAGATGAAACTCAAGCAAAGGGGTCTCATAGTTTCCTGACTGAAAAGAAGTGGCAGAGAGAAGCCAGGCATGGGAGGAAGGGACTGGGGTTGTCAGAAAAGAAGATCTTAGGCATTTCAGTTTTCTGCTGCAGGCAAGTACTTTGTGGTCCAGTCATTCCAAAATACTGCTATTCCAAAGTAATAGTGCTATAGTAATTCCAGATAGTAAAGCAGTAATACTATTCTAAATAGCCAGTTTTCCCTATACTGACCTATATGTTTAAGAGCTGGATTGTTCTGGGATGCAAAGAGAGGAGCACACAAGGGGCCTTTTCCTTCCCTTATGCTCCCACCCTAGATTTCTGGCCTTAAGATCTGACTCTTGCAAGTGAGGGTGCAGTTGCAGTTCCTGTGTTCACCCAAGCCCGGGGAGTACTCCCTCCTACAACCACTGGGGCTCAAGCCATCCTGAAGGGGTAGGAGAAGCTAAGACTGTGGGCCCATCACCTTGTATTATTGACTGATGATGCTGGACATATGCAGAGAGTGGAGCGTGTTGCAGACTCCTAAAGGATGGTATATCATGTGCACTGGTGTTGGGGCACTCTGGGCGGGATTTTGCCTCCCAGATGCCAGGCATAAAGCCAGCATAGCTACTTTAAGGCTGACACACAACTAACAGAGATATAATAAGAGAATAATATTTGTAAGGCACATTATGGCTATTCAAACTAACAGTCTGCGGAGAAAGACAAAGAGGGGAAAAGGAAAGGTGATTGATCCTCACTTCATTAACCCAAATTGCCGTTAGCTACTTTAAGAGTTAAGAGATTATTTTTCCACCCTGGTAGTTTCCATGGTAACTAAGGAATGACTTCTGAAGAATGCAGCTTGGCTCTTGTTTTCCAGCAGCAAGGAGTGAAATAAAGCTGACTTGTAAGAATAAATAAATAATTCCCCTAAAGGATGTTATGTGGAAATGGGGGAAGCTGTGAAATGCTCTCTGTTTGCTGAGAGTGGGGAGAAATCACTAAACTTTGCAGACTCATCTGAGTGCAGGGAGGTTTTCTGCATCTTTACTCACTGTCTGAACAATGTTTTCTTCTGATCTCAGACACATCTCAGTATTAGCGGAAACAATAAAGAAGGGAATCCACGATGCGGACTCTGAAGCAAGGATAGAGGCAAGAAAGTAAGTGGATTTTAAAAAAAATAAGTATCACTTTATAAACACAGGATGGTCGGTGTGTGATGGAAAACTGAAGCTAAGACAAATGCATATAGGGCCTGTTCCTGCTCCCATGGCAGTCGATGGCAAAAGTTCATGACTTGAACAGGAACAGGAGCAGATCCACAAAGCAGTCAGTATGATCTGATTAATAAAACCCCAGCCATTCACACATTGCTTCTTTAGATTCTGGTCATTTTACACTGCTGTGTAAAATTAAATCAATTTGTAACTTTGTTTTCTCCCAGCATGGATTAATCCATGTATTAATGTATGTTCTTAGAAGCACAAGAGCATTTTGCTAATCCTTACTTATCTGCCACCAATATAATGCCTAGACAAAATCTGGTGGTTTCATTCCTGTTCCCATAAAACACTGGGTTGCCAAAGGGCAGTCAGATTTGATAGCCAAATATCATTTGATTTCACGCCTGATTCTTTTATCTCATACAAAAATCTCTTTGTCCTAAATGGAATTTTTGCCTGAGTAAATGTTACAGGATTGGGCTTGCCATTGCTTTCTAAACTACTACAAAATATTGTAAATAATGAAAACCACTGTCAGAGTTAGTTAATAAAGTACAATTGTGAGGCAGCATTATTTTGCCTTTCTTAATCACTGATACAGAAATCTCATTAATTTGCAATGATTTTCCCTGTCACAAAGGGTATAGGAGAGGTTCTGCTGTATTTTAAAAAGTTTGTGTATGTGTCCATGGGAGGTTGTCTTGGTATACTGAGAACTTGTTCTTAAACTAAGCACCCATTAACCAAAGATTCTAGGTGAACTTTATACAGAGAGAGAAAGCTGTCGTTTGGTACATTTTACATTTCATTAACTTGTTTATAAGAATCAAATGATTAAATGCTACACTTCAAGAAATAGTAGTTCATAGTAGGAGTGGGTATTAAATTATTTTGGGAGGGAGCATTTTCTCCAATCATGAAAATACTGTAGGCACCCAGGTGTTACAGCAATGTGGCTAGGTAACCCAGATAGCTAGCTGGGCAGACTTTTTGAGGATTTATAGTGAATGTTAAATTCTCCTTTATTTTTTTCTTACTTAATATATTGCCAGTATTAAGATTTACATTTTTGCATTTTATCCCAAAGAGATTAAAATGCTGATGGCTTCCTCTGTCTGGGGAGCAGCTGTCACGTGCAAATGGCTCTGGATTAATTTGCATTTATTGATCTTGTTCTTAAAGTGTCCTCCAGCCTAATCCTGAAAGGTGCCTGTAACTCTTATAGATTATAACAGGAAGTAAGGATGCTCAGCATCATCCGAGAGGCTGTTAGTGCCACACAGGACTGGTCCCTTTGTGCTGAAATGTTTCTCTCTCTTTTGAATGGGCTAGATCCTGAGTGATGCTGAGCCACTCTCACTGAAGACAGTAAGAACAGCTAGCTTCAGCACTCCCTAAGACTTGCCTCAGTAGCAGCCAAAGTTTCCCCCATAGTATTATGCAAAGGGTCAGGATCATCTCAGGGGTAATTGTTAGTTACTACACATCTGCTTTTGAATGATATTGAATAAGGGAGTCACTGTTATGTTACAGTTTGAAAGAAAAATCTCTGTTATTGCTGTCATGAATCAGGCCCACAGATCTGTCTTCAGTTGCAGATTGTTTCAGAAACTGTTATTTAATTCACATTAATTTGCCAGTCCTACCGCTTTAAACACTTATGTAGTGTCCCCTCAGCCTGTATAGATCCAGTGTGGGTAAAAGGGTTAATGGTATTTACAAGCACTCATGCTAGATTTTGTACTTGCACCGGGACGTTGCTGGTTGAAGCTTGCCATGGGATGTCTACCTTGTCTAATCCCCGCTGCTCTTGTGGGCTAATGGTCTTCTTCCTGACCTCCTGATTGGAGCCGTGACATCTGGGTATAGACTCTGCCCGTCTCTGGTGCTATATGTGTTCCTGTGATGCCCTGCACAGTGTACATCTTGCCTTCCCACTTCTGGTCAGTGTGTCTTGTGTGGAACTGCTTTCTCAAAACACAGTGATAGCCTGCGTGGTATGTTTCAGATGCATCACAGAAAGGCTGCGTCACTGAAATGGGTCAGTTAAGCTGTTGCCGTTGGGGTGGACATCTCCTGTGACTGAGCTGCTGTGGCTCATCAAACGTTACAAGGAGTTTTCAATGGTATATTGGGATCTTGTTTTCAGATGTTATTGGGGCTTCCACAATCACTTCAGCAGAGAAGCAGAACACTTGTATCACACGTTGGAATCCTCCTATCAGAAAGCCCTGCAGTCACACTTGAAGAACTCAGATAGCATAGTGTCCCTGCCTCAGTCCGATCGCTCGTCCTCCAGTTCCCAGGAGAGTCTCAAGTAAGTCTCTCTACTTTATTACCACTGATTTTATTGACTAAACTGCAGATGCACCTAAATGAGTAACTATGGCATTGCACCGTTACCATTCACAACTTCATGCTTAAGCTTGTTTTCTCATCTCTTATGACCATTCACATTTATTTCTTGACCTCAACATTTGACCAGCTCCAAAATATGGCATAGGAGGTTTCTGGCTGGCAAGATATTAAAAAAACCCCAAAAAACCAAAAAAAACCACACTGCTAAATATCCTGGAGTCAGTCTTGAATCCATAAATAAGTGGACAAGAGGCTTTTCATTCTCAGCCAGACAGTATTAGTCAGCCCTCCTAACTTAAAAAGACACTTGTTTGGCCTGAAATTTTTCATGCTTAGCCTTAAGCCAGAGAAGTGAGTGTATCTGTTTGTCTTTTCTTTTTCTTGTAAGAAGAGAAGTGGCCAAGCTAGATATAAATTATATAGCTGCAAAATGAATAGCTTTTCTGCTGCAGTTGTGTATCTTGGCTGTTTTTGAAGGGACACAGTGAAAGAATTTAGACTCAAAATTTGCCCCAGCTGAAAAGTGTTAGAATTTTTTGAGGACTGTCCTATTACAATATGAATTGTAAAATCCACCTCCATCCTACAAAGAAATGTATAAAATACATTAGTCACTATTTACATAGGACCTGAAATCTTCTTTTGTTCTGTTAATGCTCATGGTAATTTTTTCATACTCTTTTCTAAGGAGTTTTATTGAGCTTCAATATTTATATTTAAACAATAAATCCTGTTAGACAACTATTTACAGATAGTAATAGACTATTACAAACCCTTTATGACTACATACTCAGCAGCTTCTAAAAAGTAATTCCATGTTTATCATGGTAATTATATAACTGTATAAAATATATATTTGATATATTTAAAAAGAAAATGAAAGAGGGCCAGGCCAGCAGTCTAGCAATAGCAGGAGAATGTTGCGGGAGCACAGGGAGAGTAAGTAGACATTCATCACTCAGACTAGACTGGCTCCAAAGCAAGAGTTTCAGTGCAGCAGACTTCAGTGATGAAGGACCAGTGCTGGACTGAAGGCCAGTTCTAGATTAGCAGAGGGGAGTAGAGAATAATCATGGGGATAGACTCTTCCTGTGCCTTTGATCATTGAAGTCATTTGGAGCATATGTGGAGAGTTCTGAAAACAAAGAGGGCAGTTTTGAATGAAATCCTGAAATAAGAGGGGAGCCACTGGAGGTGTCTGAAGTTGTGGTTGGTATGGTTGTGCTTCTGTGTATATAGCAACTTTGGCACACCCTGAAGTCTGGAGAGTGGGGTTGTAATTACGCCACTGCTATTTTTAATAACTGGTTATTAATGTAGTAATGTAGAACAAAGCCTCCTAAAATGTGATGGCATTTTTATAGCCAGGATTATTGGTGACTCAAAAAATACCTGTTTGATAAATGTTTGTGTTTAATTTCTAGCCGTCCATTGTCTGCCAAAAGAAGTCCTACTGGAAGCACTACATCCAGAGGTGAGAACAGGAACTGTAGGATACATAATCACCTGTTGCAGGGGAAGATTTGTAATGAAGTAAGATAAAAGACTCAAATATTTCTATGTTCAAAATAGTGATTCTGGTTATAATGAAATCTCCATTTACTGTGAAGTTGTTCTTTTGGTCATGAGTCCAGTCACATATAGCTGTTCCTTTGGTCACCAGCATATAGTGGAGGCACCTTAAGTGCATGTCTCCTATGGTGCTAAATTCCAAATTGATCACAAAAGTGCTTTCACCAATGGACACGAGACGTCTGGACCACTTCACCATCGGAGCCCTAGTGCACGTGACTGCACGGGCAGGTGGGTGGACAAGAATACCTAACAGGCCTTTTCCATCTCTGATTTTTGTTTGGCTTTCAATAGCCACCGTCTCAGTCTCCACTACGTACCCCAGACCAGGCATGGTATCCCACAGAGGCCTTTGATACAGTCAAAAGTAATGTTGAGCCTCCTTGATCTTTTTCATCAAGACTTTCCAGCATGTAGAATCTTCAGAGCTTTGCTTTGGTTCCAAGCACTTAATGCCTGAAGGGCATAGTCTTGGGTGGGAACATCAGTGAGTGAGGGGAACAGAAAATCTTCATGGGCAGATGAGGTTACTGTTAGCAGGCCTTGCTAACAGTAACTTTCAAAATGCAGGGCCCAGACTAATTGATTCGATCACACTTTAGTCTGCTACTAGATACCATCAGCTGAGAGTATAAGGCTATGTTTTAGTCACAGGTATTTCTAGTAAAAGTCATGGACAGGTCACGGGTAGTAAACAAAAATTCACCCCTGACTAAAACTTGGGTGCTCTGGAGCAGCAGGCAGCCCAGGGGCACTGCGGGTGCTCTGGGGCAGGGGGGGGTGGCTGAGGGGCGCCGCAGGTGTTCAGGGGTGGGTGGGGCAGCCCAGGACCCCTGCAGGTGCTGGGGGAGGCAGCGGCCCAGGACCCCTGCTGCTGCTGGGAGCGAGGAGAGATTTTGTGGGGCTGGCGGGTTCGCTACCTGGCTCTGCACAGCTCTCTGGAAGCAGCGACATGTCCCTAGGTGGAGGCGTGGCCAGGCAGTTCTGCACACTGCCCCTGCCCCGAGCACTGGCTCCGCAGCTCCCATTGATCATGGTTCCTGGCCAATGGGAGCTGCAAAGCCAGTGCTCGGGGTTGGGGCAGCATGTGGAGCCGCCTGGCCATGCTTCCGCCTAGGAGCCGAGGAACATGTTGCTGCTTCCGGGGAGCCCCCCGAGGTAAGCGCTACTCGGAGCCCTCACCCAGTCCAGCGCCCCAAATCCTTGCCCCAGCCCTGATTCCCCTCCCACACCCAAACTCCTTCTGCTGATTGTGGGGGTGGTGGTGGTGGTACGGTGGCCCGAGACTGCCCCAGCAGCAACTGGTGCAGCTGGCCCAGGGGCTGCCCGAGCTGCTCAGGCGGCCCCTGGGCCAGCTGCATTGGCCATTGCAGAAGTCCTGTAAAGTCACAGAATCTATGAGCTCCATGAGAGACTCCAGGCTTACATATAAGTAACATATTTTTCTGCTCACAGATACCATTGCAGAACAGCACTGTGAATTAGTTCAAAATAAAGAGAGACATGGGGGATGAGGCAATATATTTTAATGGACTGATGAGAGTAGGGGAAACTGTACTTAGAAAAGAACAGGGCACTGGTAATGAGATACGAAATCATTGACATCTAGGTCACTACTTCTAGGTATTCCAGCTCAGGAGTTGCCCCAAAATTTTACTAGTTGGTGAGTGGTGCTATGTGTGAACTACACTGAATTTCACAGTCTAGGTCTCAGTAGATGGGGCTATAGCTTGGTCTTCACTTAAAAGTTAGGGCAACATAGCTACATCGCTCAGGGGTGTGAAAAATCCATACCCCAAGCAATGTAGCTACTCTGACGTAACCCCTGGTGTAGACCCAGTTAGGCCGCGGAATAATGCTTCCATGGATTTGCCTACTGTTGTTCAGGGTGATGGTGTTTCTACACTGGCAGGAATATGCCTTCCATTGGTATAGATTGCATCTACGTTATGGGGTTGTGCCATAGCTAGGCCACTATAATCCCTGTAGTGTAAACATGGCCTGCATCACATAGCCACCACCCGAACTGCCCTTGATTAGGGCCTTGTTTGCCATCTCAGCAGAGAGGCCAAGGCTTGAACGGGTTGTAGAGACTGAACTACCCTAGAGGTGGCCTCTTAGGTCAAGGCTGGGACACATTTGCAGGGCAGCAAGGGGAAGCTTACACTCTCTCTGTGAGTACATTGTGCATCATGGTCTTTCTGGCCCTTTACATGAGCGCTGAAGTCTCACACTGGGAACACTTGAACGTTCTTATTCAGTTGCTAACTGGGTGCTTTGAAACGAAGAGTCAAACAAATTAATCCTCACTAGCCTTGATTGTGTGTCTGTTCCCCACCCCTGTCTAAAGCCTCTACAGTGAGTACAAAATCCGTGTCAACCCCAGGATCTCTGCAGCGGTCTCGCAGTGACATCGATGTGAATGCAGCAGCTAGTGCCAAGTCGAAAGTAACATCTTCTGGAGCTTCCACCCCTTTCAGTTCCGCGGCAGCCCTGCCCCCAGGCTCGTACGCATCACTAGGTGAGCCTCTGTGTTCTCTTAGAAAACAGATAATTTCTCCAGTATTATAAACTACGTGACTTTAGTATTAGATGGCTTGTTCTGAATATAAGCCACGTCTCCAACAAGATGGTCACTAGCAGTCCAGAACCAGTCTGTGCTCTCTGGCAACGGGGGCTAAAGAAAAATACATTTCCAGAGGGAATCAGCCTTGCAGGAAACACAGTTTGCTTTGAAACACTTTTCTTTCTTCCTCCGTTTCCAGCACTAACCAGCACATTTATGTTGTGAAGAGATGTTGTTTTGACTCTGACAGTCCAGGGGAGGATACTTGCTGCCCAGTTCACCCTGGTGTAGCCCCTCTGGAACTAAAGAACAAGTTTACTGCAAGTTGTTTTATGCTTTGGGTAGCATTAAGTATGTCTTAGCTGCATTTGATCCTGAGCTAAGGAGCTGTCTCTTCATATAAGTAAGGGATAGAGAAGCAAAGAGAGGAATCTGACTGATTTGTGAGTATGATGTAGTTACTTTTTTGGCCTACGTTAAAGGCACAAGTTCACCTTCCTCCACTCAGGCTCTTTTTGATGGTTTAAATCATGCTTTGTGTTCCTTTTGCCATTTTCTGTTGCCCCAATTTTTTCATGCTGACAAGTGAAGTCACCATTTGATGTAGAATGTACTTTTCAGGTGGCATGGCAGGCTGCATGGATGAGGAAATACAGTTCAGAAACAGCTAAAAACAGTTGCTAGATTATTTGCTTGCTTGTCAGTTTTCATTAGCCTAGATTTGACCCAGGGAGAGCTAATTACCTGAGCTAGGATCTGATTCTGAAATTTATTGTAATTTACATCAGCCTTACGCTGATGCAACTCCATTGACTTCTACCAGATTAAGTGATTGTAGCAGGTCTCTAAGTGGTATGAGAACAGATACCTTGCCTCCTGTTGTGCAGGTTGCTGAACCTTAGCTGTATCAGTTGAAAACTTGACTTCATAGCACAGGATATCCTGGCTTTCTTGTCAGTGTAATGGGAAATACTGTATGAATTATATTAGGATATATGTATATATTCCTTCTGATGGCAGGCTTCACTTACTGCTAAAATCTTTGTCTTAACTTCAGTTCAGTGGCTCCGTTTGTTTCAGTGGTTTTGTTGTGAAGTGTTTGCCCTGGCTTAAATTAGTTGCTCACATTGACTTCATGGTGCAGTGAGAACTGCAGACAGAATACTGGAGTTAAATGCATGTTTCTTGTCATTTCCCAAACTTTAGAGGCTGAACACAGAAAAGTGAAAGTGCTCTGTTAGTCTCACTCCAAAGCAGAGTGTGTTTACTGCTCTTCTCTGATACTCTATTTCTTGTTTAAATGATGCATGGATTGGATCAGCTCTAAAGGGCACTCCTTTCCTTTTTGCCCGTAGAAAAAATTGCACATGCAATTTCCTTTGGTTGCCTTGCCCATTACTCCAAGAGGAATGGGCAAGGCAAGCAAAGGAATGGGATTTAGCAAAGCTGTCTTTAATACATGGTTGCAATGGGACCAAACTAATCTGATGCTAAGACCGGTTCAGATGCTTCATGCTTTGAGTTGCTGATTAACCAAATATTCTTTTCCGGTTTCATTTCTTTAATTGTATTGATTTTTTTGCTTATTTCTGTAGCTAATGTACAGTGCCCACTTCTGTTAATATTACTAACTCTTCCCTATTTACCCTCTCCTTATTTTTTTTAAATTTGCCTAAAGATGGTACTACCACTAAACCTGAGGGTAAGCAGTCTGTCTGTGTGACTGAGGTGTGTCTACAGTTGTACCACCCCATCTGGTCTCTGTTCTCACAAAGTGTTACCTGATTCTCATCTGTGCTCACTGGTGACCTGCATGAAGTGTTGCATGGTTGTTTGGCTCATTATGACACCATTAGGTATATGTCACTTTCTCTCCAAGATCCTCCTTGAGATTAGGCACCAATCTGATTTTATGACTCTCGCTTCCAATCTTTATGTGAAACTAGTTTAAAAGCAATGTTGTATACACGTCTCCATGCTAAAAAGGTGCTGTTGGTTGAAGGTGACCTACAAAAGGATAAAAACAAAGGCTTGTGGTCGTCTGCTTCATTGAGATGCATAAAGAAGGTCTGCTTTGTTGTTCTATAAGAAATTTAGGTCATGTCTACTCTGTTTTTTCAAGGAGACTCAGGATGACAGGAGAATTAGTGAAATGATTATATTGCAAATACTAAGGAAGTGAAAGCTGGGAAAGGAAAGGATATTTAGTTAGCCTGTTCAAACCTCTGGGTTTTGTTTGTTTTTGTTGTCTCTTTTTAACTCCTGTGCCTGGTAAACAGTTGAGAGTGAAAACCTTTTTGTTAAAGGCTCAACACCCTTGTCCCTTCATTTAATGGTTGAGAGAGCTCCCACTCCAGTTCCTCCCGAGAAGCCATTTAAACAAATTATTTTAAGGAAAGACAAGTCTTGATGTTCCTGATATTTCTATGGTAAAAAAGGCAAGCATAAAACTTTCTTTTTGTGGGGGAGGGAGGGAAGGCAAGGAGGATGAGAGTGTTTATGCCGCCTTTACTCATGACGAAAAAGCCAAAAAGCACAACCCCACCCCCCTCCCACCCCCCTTTTGCAAGTCATCTTTTAAGGGATGTATTACTGATTTGTGGGACTGTGTGTGAATACCTAGATGGCTGTTTGTATTAGAATGTAGTTTCCCAAGAAGCACCACCATGTCACTGTGATGTTTGTTTTTCTCTCTGATTTCTGATAGATATATTATTTATAGGGATAGATTTCTACAGTCTCCAGTGCAAGCCCTTATACTTTAGGATCCATCAACTATCGTGTTGGTTTAAATCAGTGTTTCTCAACCTTTTTCTGCTGGTGACCCTCTTTGAACTTAAAAAAATAATTGTGACATCCATTACGCCGCCCCCTTCCCCCCTCTCCCCCCCCGCAAATTGCCACCCCATACCTTAAGTTTGGGGCTCTGAGCTTCAGCCCCCCCCCCCCCCCACACACACACACACACAGCTCAGGGCTTCGGCAATTTAAAGTTCATTTACTGTTTTTTTATTTTTTTCCTCATTAGAATATCAGTCCTTATCTAGCTGTTTTTGCTGGAGGAGACTCTGGAGAGAAAAGCAAGGAAAGCCAAACTTTATTATATTCTTCATATTTCAAATGAAAAAATTAACCTCCCCCAGCCCCTTTGTTCTGAACAGTACCCCCTTTTGGCCTCTCCTTACATATCATATAAGATACAAACTCATTTTTTAGGTCACCTCCAAGCAACTGTTTTAGAATCTCCAATTTTTCTGTGCAATGTAGTTTGACCTTTGCAGTGCAGTAGTGCTCATGAAGTATGTGTGTAGTTTTCTCAGGACCAATATCTCAGATTAGGAGAAAGCCAGAAGTGAGATATTCCAGTTAATAAGTGCAAGTTAAAAGCTGAATATCAGGCCATAGATTTAAAAAACACGGTTACCTGGATAGCTCTGTAAAGCACCATGCTTGAAAGTTACCCTGTGCTGGGAGCCATCACAAGGCCTATGCGCAACTTATGTCTTGTGCCGTCCATCTGCACAAAGGTGAATTGGGCCCTAAATCCAGTTAGTACCCACTCCTGCAGCCCTTTCGCCTGTGTAGCTCCCTTGCTCTTCACTGGGAGGTGTGTATGCAGAAAGGTTGCAGAATCAGGCCTTTGTAGAGCTATACAAATAGTTACTATGATCCAAATAGCTGGTCATGGCTGCATAGAAACTTTCCCGAGGTTTTCTTTAAGCAGTTACATTCCGGTGGGAAACAAATTCTGAGCTTGCGGTGCAAACCCTGTTAAGATTTCTGTGCTACTATCCCTGGAGAGGGACTGGTGGTTCAGAACCTGCAATACATTAGGTCAGGGGTGGGCAAACTATGGCCCGTGAGCTCCTGCTGGGAAGCGGGGTCTGGGGCTTGCCCCTCTCCAGCCGGGGTGCCAGGTCAAGAGCCGCACCACGCGACTCTGCCCCGCTCCGGTGCTCCAGCCGGGGCGCCGGGTTGGGGGCCGCACCACGCAGCTCCCGGAACAGCCGCATGGCCCCACTCTGAGGGTCGGGGGCCGCTCCATGCGTAGGAGCCGGAGAAGGGACATACTACTCCTTCCGGAAGCCACTTAAGGTAAGCCCCGCTCAGAGCCTGTACCCCATAGCCTCTCCCCACACCCCAAGCCCCTTCCCCAGCCCTGATCCCCCTCCCACTCTCCAAACCCCTCGATCCCGGCACAGAGCATCCTCCTGCACCCCAAACCTCTCATCCCCAGCCCCACCCCAGAGCCCTCACCCCAACCCCAATTTTGTGAGCATTCATGGCCCGCCATACAATTTCTATTCCCTGATGTGGCCCTCAGGCCAAAAAGTTTGCCCACCCCAGCATTAGACTCTGCTAACAGCTCTGAATTTGCAAACAGATTGTGGATAGGTGTATTGTTACGAAGTTGGGAAGCTCAGATGGGATGAGTTCTGCCCCTCTTTGGGCAGACGTTGCAGTTTTCAATATCTTTAGTATTCCTGTCAGTGTTCAGCAGTCAGCCAGACTAGTACAATTTTTTCGAATAAAAGTATTATTATAGTATAAAGACTTCTCAGACGTTTATTAGAATTTTGAAGTCATTCTAAGCACAAGCTCACACATCTTACAGAAACCTTAGGGCTGGGAGCAAACAAATTACTTGCAGCTCTTGACTTCAAAGTAGTGTGATTTGTTCCTATCAATAAATTGGCAGTTAAGTTTCATATTAAAAAATGCTTTGAACTGATGCCAGCAAGTTAAAGAAGTATGGGCTGGATGAATGGACTATAAGGTGGATAGAAAGCCAGCTAGATCGTCGGGCTCATTGGGTAGTAATCAATTGTTCCATGTCTAGTTGGCAGCCGGTATGAAGCGAAGTGCCCCAAGGGTCGGTCCTGGGGCTGGTTTTGTTCAATATCTTCATTAATGATCTGGATGATGGCGTGGACTGCACCGTCAGCAAGTTTGCAGATGACACTAAACTGGGATACGCTGGAGGGTAGGGATAGGATACAGAGGGACCTAGACAAATTAGAGGATTGGGCCAAAAGAAATCTGATGAGGTTCAGCAAGGACAAGTGCAGAGTCCTGCACTTAGGACGGAAGAATCCCATGCATCGCTACAGACTAGGGACCGAATGGCTAGGCAGCAGTTCGGCAGAAAAGGACGTAGGGGTTACAGTGGATGAGAAGCTGGATATGAGTCAACAGTGTGCCCTTGTTGCCAAGAAGGCTAACGGCATTTTGGGCTGTATAAGTAGGGGCATTGCCAGCAGATCGAGGGACGTGATCGTTTCCCTCTGTTCAACATTGGTGAGGCCTCATCTGGAGTACTGTGCCCAGTTTTGGGCCCCACACTACAAGAAGGATGTGGAAAAATTGGAAAGCGTCCAGCGAAGGGCAACAAAAATGATTAGGAGACTGGAACACATGACTTATGAGGAGAGGCTGAGGGAACTGGGATTGTTTAGTCTGCGGAAGAGAAGAATGAGGGGGGATTTGATAGCTGCTTTCACCTACCTGAAAGGGGGTTCCAAAGAGAATGGATCTAGACTATTCTCAGTGGTAGCAGATGACAGAACGAGGAGTAATGGTCTCAAGCTGCAGTGGGGGAGGTTTAGGTTGGATATTAGGAAAAACTTGTTCACTAGGAGAGTGGTGAAGCACTGGAATGCATTACCTAGGGAGGTGGTGGAATCTCCTTCCTTAGAGGTTTTTAAGGTCAGGCTTGACAAAGCCCTGGCCAGGGTGATTTAGTTGGGGATTGGTTCTGCTTTGAGCAGGAGGTTGGACTAGATGACCTCCTGAGGTTCCTTCCAACCCTGATATTTTGTGATTCTAATCTGTGTGGGCCAGATTCAGAATTCCATTACATTGGTGTAAATATGGAGTAACTCCATTCCAGTCAATGAGGCTTTCTTTGGATTTATGCCATTATAACAGAGATCAGAATCTGACCTTATGTAATTTTTAATATACTGTGAAGGAAACGTGTGTCTTTTTTGTAACCAATGATCAGGGAAGATATCATCTTTCCAAATAACCTTCCTTCCCTCCCCACATGTAAGATAACCACATGTCCTTGATTTGATTGTGTTTTTCCCGAAGTGAGCATTACTGCATATTTTACAGCACATATTTTACAGGGTAATCTGATGCTAGAAATAAATTTGTACATTTATTATGTCTATATCTGAACAGCCTGGATATCTCATTTTATAAGGGGTCTGACTTTCATCATAGTTAACCTTTAAATGTTTTTAGAAAATACTTTATATTGGTCAAGTGTTGAAAATCCTTTGTATTTTGCAAACAAATGACTGCAGTAAGAGAGCATGAATTTATTTCTGTGTTCCACATGTCTTAGAAAGAAGGTAACTGATTACCCGTGACTATATTTATATATACATCCAGGAACTTTTCTTATCCTTCTCCCCCTGTATTGAATTAAACCTAATGACTCCAGTTTTTAAACAGATTTTCTGTTAAAGAAAGGGACTTTATAAGGACTGTACTTTCCCTTGCCTTTTTGCCTTATTTCCAAAGCGAGCACAAACATAACCCTTCAGACACTAAAGACTAACCTCTCCTATAAAGGGAAGAGAATGACATATAGCTATATGAATTTTGTCCATTGGAAAAGAAATAAAACCTAACTGTTTGGTGTATTTGTTAATCTCACAAATTCACACAGAGTGGTCAGGTGAGTGATAAATA